TTTGTCCATCAGGTCATGCCATGAGGTACAGTGGTGCCGATATACGACAACTATTAAACACTGTTTTCGGATTTGAAATCCCATTTTCATTTGTGCAAGAGCGTAATTGTCCAAAACGAGCCTTTCAATTTCCAATCTACTAGAAGTGTAAATGTCTTAAAAGCCAATAATTTACGAAAAATGTAGATTTTCACCGGAATTAAGTGGTTCAGTTTCTTGTGTTGGAAACGGGTTTAAAACATACTCTATTTGACTCTATCATAAGCGCAGAGCCGAAGTATTTCACAAGTCTGCATGATCGCAATGCCATTCAGTTGTGCTCGGGGATAAGTACACAACAATGCGCTTTCGAAGGTGAAGCGAATTAAGGTTTCGTTGAATATTTGAAATCTACATTGAATATTTGAACTTACATTTCCCCCACTCTCTCTGGTCTCCATGAGAACAACGAGTTCTATTGCAAATCTGTGGATGTTTTACGGTTGCGAAGCTAAGTGCGCGAGCTGTAGCGAAGAGTGATTCCTGACTCGTTAACTCGGTCACATTTAACCAGCTCGACCCGGACATTACTTCATTGATTGAGAGTGGGACTTTTTACTTTCGTCCCTAACTTCCGACTCTGGTACGAAAGCCAAGCAAATTTCTGCCACCAGGTGAAGTTTGAATCGGTGAAGACAGCTTTTTTTATGTAAAGCACTTTAGGTCCGATGTACATCGTATTTTCTGGTTTATCACGCTTCAATTTATTTCTTTAGAAGCGTGACAACAAGTGGTATTTCCTTCGAGTTGCGTGACACGAAAGTTTCTGTGGGGCACGTAAAGCTTGGTTCGGAAGTCAAAGATTTTTGTTCTGATGGTTTTGATAAGCGTGTATTGTTTCAACTTAACAGGGAAGCTTGTTCTGCAATAATTCCACCACTTTCACTTCTTGTGATTTTCCCTGTTTACTGCTACCAAAATAGCCGTGAAATATAGCACATGTAACAATATTGTTTAGGTCTCTGAATCTTCGGTTTCGATCTTTTTGATAATACACGGTTCGTGTTTCTAAGCTAAGTGCCAATGCTCATGTCTATACAAAAGTTCACTTAGTTTCTTATTTTCTTTTTCCTGAGTTTACCCACACCTTCGAAGACAATTATTTTAGGAGGGGTTCGCTAAATTCTTGTGGCCAAGCATAGCTCAACTTCTAAACTTTAAACGCTAGGTATTTTTAGAAATGGTACAAGGAAAATTGTTGTTGAGGTTTTTCCTTTAGTTTGATGGCGGATCGATAGTTATGTCTTTCAGAATTTGAAGAACATGTGTGATGATGTTTAAACTATAAACTTGTGAAAGTCATTTAAATATCTAAATAATTCGAATGAAGCATTTAATTTTCGAAACATGTTGAAATGGGATTTCATATGCCGACCGCCTGTTTTTTCGGTGTAGTTTGAATACAAAAAAAATTCGATTTAAACAACTATACACTTGTGTCAACTATATGAACCATTGTTATTTTCAGAAATATTATAACTAACACACCATACAAGTTCCCTGCGACATTTGCCTATGAAGTTGATGTGACTTTCGTTCTTGGCGCGATAATGCTCGTGCTTTGAAATAAAATTGTGAATAATTCTTGGGCGCGCCTAAATATTGAATTTCTCTTCGAATGTTCAACTCGATAGCTCACGAGTTAGCGCAGCGAACGAGTGAGATGTCGAGTTGTACACGAGTAGAGAAATTCCATTTCTACAAGAAACCATGTATTATTTTGTTTATCATGTAAACGTAATAGCCCTTTACTGGGAAGAAAAGCCGACCTCGTTAATGAATGAAAATAAATGAATCGACAATCCTCGAATAACAATCGTAGAGTGCGAATTTCGCATCAAATCAACTAATTATCCCTAAATTGAAATTTTTCTTCATTCTCATCACTGATCTGGTTGATAGTGTATTGATATTGCAAGGAGAAATTCTATCTTGGTTACTCATGGGAGTTCAAGGGTTAAGAATCCTTACAGGTATACCATTCACTCCAGTAGGAGGATTTAATTCAACGTTTGAATGAGTCATTACTTTTCATACATTTTTACTTTACGTATTCACCTACCAGATGCAAATTATAGGCAATATCTAATTTCAGTCACCATCATAAAATTTTTTGGCCATTAAAAAAGGTCTAATGGAACTTTAAAAGAAGAGTTGTTATAAGCATCCCATGCAATGGGGTAGTTAGGAAACCTGGACAAACACCGGCAAGATGGGCCTCTTGACTTAAGTAGAGACTTCACTTTTACATTGGTTTTTAATCAGAACCAGTAAGGTGTTAGGAAAATATAATAAATCCAAACCACCTTCATTTAAGCCCCTCAAAGGAAAAAAAATCATTTCCAATCTGAAAAGACAACTATTTGACAAACCCCCATGTTTCTATTTCTAATCTACCTATTCCAGAGAACAGGGCACATCTCACAGAAATTCATTCATAAATAACACCACAAAATAGATTTTGTAGATTTTTAAACAAGGCATTTTATTACGAGAGTTCATTACTCAAAATGCACTTCATTTTGTTAAAAAAAAGCATAACTTTAAGAATTGTTTTAAATTGACTCATCTAAACCAGGATGAGAGGTTCAAAATCAAAGAGATTCAGAGCTTTCAATAACTTTGTCCATAAGAGGCAGCTGATGTTGCAGTAGGTGGCTCTGCCTGGAAAGGGGCTGAAAGGAGAACCCCACATGAGAGACTATTCTCAGAAAAACTGAAAGAAGTAAGATCTCTTAAAGGTGGTGGAAGAATGCCAGTTTCTGGCTTTTCTTTAAACTCCTGCAGATTGTAATGAATTTCAAACAAGCTCTCCTAAAAGCAGTTTTCTTGAATCCTTGAATTCTCCACAGGATGATAATAATTTCAGCCTAAAGTGCATGAAAGTTTTTTTTGGCTTTCACTGTACCCATTATTGTGGGAGAAAACAATTCACAGGTTATAATTTCACTGTTCCTAAAAATAAATTTTCTTCTGACTTGCATCCTTCACTGAGCTTCAAATATACCTTCCCATTTTAAGTGCAAGACAGGCTTTTTTCAGTTACAAAACACTTCATGAAAAAAATATCTAGAGTAACGTCCTCTCTATGTTTTTGATCTGTAACTAAACAAATTTAACAAGGAAACTACAACATCAAAATAAAATTCAGGATCTAAAAGTTAGGACAATAAACTTTTAACAGTAAATGTACTTAGAATAAAGTCTCAAAAAATTGTAAGGAAAATAGGAATTACTTTGAAAAGAATGTTTTACAATTAGATGGAATGAGAAATTCTGAGTCAAATTGGATGCTTAGGCTACAACTTGAAATATTTCAATTACTGCTGTTTACTCATTCGATGAAGCTATGTTACAATCTTGTTTACAAACAATATTTATCAAAGTTGTAGGCTGCCAAAACCTCCTGCAAATTAAAACTTTGATGCAATCTCACTTAAATAAGAACATTACTCAGTAGTCTTAGTGGGTGAACGTTGAATCCTGCTAGATTTAGAAAACATTATCATGAACATTTCTTCTTCTGAGCCTGGTTGTGTTTTTTTGATAATCTCCTCAACTCTTTTGGCAAATTCTGTGTCTTCTCTAACAACACTCTGTGATGTCTTTGTTGTTTTCTTTGGTTGCCATGGTCTCGTGAGGTTTCTGAAAAAATGATTATTAACCTGTGAGTCCTTAACATCAGTTTGCATATTCTCCATACTGTTCTAATACATTTCCTATGGTATTGACAAGGAGAATTTGTCTCATAATCATGATCTTCTTAAGGTGGTGATCATTTCTTTTATTCTCATGACTTGAGTTTTTGATTCAGCGGTGACGCTGTGAGGAGAAAATAGATGCTAATCACCCTAAGGGGTTGAAAGGATGAAGCAGTTCCATTCAATGAGATTAAGTTATTTAACAATTATAATAACTTGATGTTAGATCATTTGAAGAGGATACCAAATTGGAGATAAAAACTCTAAGCTGATGACTTAAAAAAATTCTCATAAATTATTTAAGAGATCCTCGCAGCTAAGAACACTACTGAAATAGTAGTTTAAAATAGGGCCTGAAAAAAATTCAGGCCCGTACAGGATTTTTTTCAGGTCCTATTTTCAACTACTAGTTCAGTGGTGTTCTTAGCTGCAAGGATCTCTTAAATTTGTTTCTTCACCGCAGTGCAAATATATGAATTTCATATATCTAAAATCATTATTCTCATAACTTGTTGCTGGAAAATAGATGGAAGATGTTTGGGAGAGGTAACATTATCATCACCTGGGTAACACCAGCTGTTCTCCCCTGGCTCTGCGAACTTGAGGGCTTGCTGGAGTGCTGCTACCAGATCTGACAATGGTATCTTTCCTCGGTTTCTTCTCCATTTGGGTAGAGTCAGTCGATGAGTTCACTACAGAACTGTTTGCATCTTCACTCCTCTTGCGCTTCACTGAGCCTGATCTTGAAAAGCTTGTCAGTAGACTGTGACTGGATGATAAGGGTGTGCTGCAAACAGCAGTGGGCTCTAAAGCGAAAAAAAACAGAGCATTCAGGATGAGCAAAGAAACTTACCAAGTTTAATGAAAAATCTACATTGTACAGGTAAGCATGTCACTTTTGGACTGCTATTTCATATTTAAGTATGGTTCACGAAGTGTCACATAACCATCTTGATACTAAGGAAAAAAAAACATTATTTTCTAATCAATCAACAATACCGTGAAATAAGAAAATAATTATTATAATTTAATTTAACTGATTTATACAAATAAAGCTTTGTCTGTCTATTCCCAAGGTAAAAAGAGTAACATCTGTACTCCAGCTGAGTCAGACCCATTCAGTTAGCACTTATTCTGGTTTCTGTAGTATGAAGCAACAAGGAGTATTTATTTATTACTCTTCCCTGAATGGGATGCCAATCCACTGAAAGGTTACCCCCCTGCATTTCACTAGGCTTTCCTTACGATTTGCTGCAATGCATTGAAACTCCTGGGGGGAGTCAGGCAAGAACATGCCAAAAAAGAACAAGGATCCATAGTTGACTTTTTCACTCCCTGAAATGTCCTCAGAGGAATTTCTCCTTAAAATATCACTTTTTTTTCCAAACAGAAAGTTGATAAGAAGAGGAGAAATATCAGATATCTGGAGTATAACTGGTTGGAGAAAAGCTACAGGGAAAAAGTGTCTCAGGGTTATATGCAATGGACAAGTATCCAATGATTGACTGAGAGGAGCAGAATACTTCTCTAGGCAGAGTTCTCATTAAAAGACAGAGTTGGTGTATATACCAGCACCTGGATATTCAAGAGTCAGTACCTGCCTCCTTCATGTACGACATTAAAGAATTCATATTTAGTTTTTTAATTTTTTTTGTGCCAGGCTTCTCCCAATTACAGATGCCTGAGATTTTTAAAATGTAACAAGCCCCATGCAGAATCCAGGAATAAACAGGAACATTTATCAGCCACTCTGAGTTGGCCATTACAACTTAAAGTAACTGAATGCTTGGGAGGACAAGAAATGGTAACAACCTTACCAGCATCATCAGGTTCTTGTGACACAGCAGAAGAATGCACAACTCTTGAGCTACCTTTGCATCTTAATGCTACTTCATTGTCCCTGACACAGCTTCCACAGATATAGTTGTCATCACAGTCTTTGGGCGTCATCAATCCACATGGCTCCAAAACAAAAGGGACTCTTTTACCAAAACTGTTGGAAATCATAGCCTTTCCTCCAGAAAGACAAATCTTCTTCCACATTGCCTTGTTTTCCTGTTTAAAAAGGCCTTCAACAACGCACCATTTGGTACAAGTATCCAATTTAGCTTTTTTTGTGTCACTGTTTTGACCTGTAAAGGTAATAAATCAATATAATAACTTAGCAACCTGTTACTTAATGAAATTTGCAGACTAAAATTCAGTTTTCTGAGAATGCTTTATATTCCCATTTTCCATACTGATGTCAATTGTTCAAGCACATTGAAGCTTGACAGAGGGAATCCCTTTAAAGTATGTGCCACATTGACAGTGTTTAAAAATGTTACAAAGTAATTGGTTCACTTGGCAGCTGTAAGCCTATAGGAAGCACTTAAGAAGCTGCAGTTGCCCTGAGCTAAGCTGTCAGCAACCCTTACCATATGCATCTTTTGTGTTTTAAACTTCCCACATACTTCATATTTCAATGAATACGCATTGACACATGGGCTAATTTTTTGATGATGGATATAACTTTTTTTGTTTATCAAGTGTTTGCAGGCCATTGATAAGCTAAGTTGTCTATGCTGTAAGCACTAGTTACTACTTCCTCTTAAATCTTTTAGTGATACAGGTAAGACAAAAATGTTTTCAACCCTCTACTGCGTAACATCAGTATAGAGGAGTAAGTGTCTAAAGAAACTGTGGTGCTGCATCAGTGGGAGAGTATAGCAGGTAGTTTAGTGTTAACATCTGAGTTGAAAACGTAAATTAGCCACTGTAAAGGGTAAAAAGCTGATGTTTCAAGCATTAACCCAATGGCTCTGACGAAGGGCTAATGCTCGAAACGTCAGCTTTTTAACCCTTTACAGTGGCTAATTAATATTTTCAACTCAGTTGTTAACACTAAATTACCTGCTTAACATCAGTATACATATTCTCTGTACCATTCCCCACACATTTCCTAAGATGCTGACAAGAAGAATTTTTTTGGAGAGCTCCTTTACTTTGTGATAATCTCTCATATTCTTGTGACCTTAATTTTGTGATCCAGGGGTGATATTGTAAGGAGACATTAGATTCGAGTCACTCCTTGGTGCTAAGGTTTAGCTTGAAAAAATGAGACTATAGATAGCATGTGCAAAATTTTGTCTGAATGCCGTTGGTCACGTACATGTAGGTTCATATGTTAAGTTCTCTTGTTACAAATGTAATTATTTATCCAAATTAACAAGATTTCCAGGGATTCTAATTATTGGACTTATAGAAAATATGTTGCAAAATTAGGTTTTAGTGTCACTTAAAATAATTTTAGCTGTTACACATTTATCGTTTTACTGACCTGTGGAAGGTGGGTCTGTGCAGTTCAGGTCTTTCAAAATTCTGCTTGAAGACAAATCAGGTTTAGACTTTGCTTGCTCTGCATTTGCTTGATCATTTGCTTCTACTGTGCTGTCTGGGTTGACACACCCATTCATGTCACCTGCTTGAAGGTCTACATGACTACTTGGAGAGTCACAGCTACTACTATCATTACTGCTAACATGGACATGTTCATCTGTGGGAATTTGACTATCAGCTATTTCAAAAGTAATATTGCTTAGTTTTTTGGGTTCATTCACTTCTTGTACGTGACTGTCAGCTTTTTCAAAGGTAACATTGCCTGGCTTTTCAGGTTCCTCTGTTTCTTGGTGAGAACTTGATGACAATGGTTGTTCCTCTGTATTGTTGTTGTTGTTGTTGTTGACATGTTCTTTAAGTCTCTCAACAAGTTCAGTATTCTAATGAGACAAGGGAGAGACAAATAGAGTCAAAGCTCTCCTGTCAGTTGCTGACACCTTGTTCATGATCTAGTCTTCACTTCTTTCACCACTAAGATCTCACAAGTAATTCTCCTTACTTCTGATGTTAGCTACGAGGAATTTGGTATTAGATCAACTAATAATTCCCTAATTAATATTTTTCTTTATTCTTGTCTACTTGATATTGATATCATTGGGTGAAATTCTGTCTTAGTCAATCATGGGATTTAAAGGGTTAAATATAGTGTGTGCTCTGTCAATAAGCATAACAAAACTGTCAAAGTTTAGCCATCTATTGGCTTGGACCTGTGCGCATTTTGCATTATCATGAATTGAATTGAAGAAATGTAAATTTCAGCATAGTACCACTTTAAGAGTTTTTATAAATCATTCACTTAACAGGGATGAAAATAATTTCTTAACGAGGACGAAGTCAGATTTTTCCATATATGTGTACATTTCGCATTATGATGATGAATTATCAACTGAAAGACTTAGATTGAATTAAGAAGATGCAAATTTCAGCATATTAACACTTTAAGAGTAAAATCATTCACTTTGAAGGGGTGAAAATAATTTCGTAACAAGGACAAAGTCAGGGATTTTTTCATATTTTTCTATTTGGAAATATTTTTTGGATCTATAGTAGGAAATCACCCTTTTATCCCACCAAGTTTTAATTTTACTTATACCTATAAAGAGAAAACTGTCTGTAATATAACTGTTACTTTAGATCCACAGAGGAAAAGATTCATAAGGATAATTTCTTGCCTTTCCTGAAGCTTTAAGTCCAAACCGTTTGCATAGCGTCTGAAGTTGAGGTCGTTTCATCTCTTCAAACTTTCCAAGATCCAATATGTGTTCTGATTCATTCAGGGCAGTAGCCGATTCTTCATTCTTGTGTTTAGCGTTGTTTCTTCTTCTGCCTGTCCTTTTAGACATTCTGCATCCCATTCACCGGAGCCACCACTCTCATATACCTGTTAAGAGAGATTCAGTAGCAGAAAGTGTAATGTCTGTAAAATCCCAACTAAGATGATTCTACTCACAAGTTTCTTTAAGGGCTCAGGGGCACGTTTCTGAAAAGCAGTGGTAATTGCCGATGAAAGAGCCTTTTTCTTTATCAGTGGTTACATTCAGGATCGAGAGTTAAAGAAAGTCAAGCACCGAATAAATATCAGGGAAAGACACAGCTAGTATTAATTGGTTTAATTTTGGAGCTTTTAATTGCACTGCTATATTGTTTCATGCCTGCAAAGTTTTAACGGGGCTTTCAGGAAATCTCAGATCTCTAGGATACCCAGTTCTCAATAGCTTTCAAAGAGGCAAGTTATCCAGAGACAGAAGTTCATCGTATATAGAAAAACAGAGTGAAATAGTTTATCGACTGAACAAGAACGGCAATCAACATGGCGCCCATGGCGACAGTTTTTATCATCGTGTCGACGCAATCATGAAATGTTCGACCTTTCATTGTTTGAAATTGAGCAAAGAGGAGGAAAAAAAAGCAAAATTGTGTTCATCTTAGCGATAAATAAAAGACAAGTGCATAACAATACGAAAGATTCTCACCGTATTTATGAATCTCTTTCCAGGTAATTTAAAAAAAATCAAATATCGCGCGGATAAATTGGTTTCCAATCTTCTCGTGGACGCGGATAGTCACCAATCCTCCTGGTTCAAATGAGACGATCGTAATGTACCTTGCTGAGCAAGTTATTTGAGCTAAAAAATAAAAAGTAAAATAAAAGTAAATAGATAATGATAATGATAATGATAATAATTTGTTTTTATAAAGAAACGCTCCCGCGATACGTGTTTCATCTTGTTGTTTAGGGAATTAAAATATTCTCTGAAATTTTGGGTTAGAAACTGTATCCATCGTTTTGTCATGCACGTGGATCTCTCCTATCTGAAGATAAAAAAAAGAAAAAAAACTTCAAAGGACAGAAAAAAATGTTGCGCCAAACATAGTGGTGTCCTATTAGATAACCTATGTATTAATTATTAAGAATAAAACCCATATCTTGTGGGACATAGATTTTGTTGTAAATTAAAGCAGATGAAGGATAACTCATTTCTAAATAGCAAAATTTCTTCATGTATCTTCTCCATAAGCCAGGAAGAATCCCGAAAGAAAATTTTCAATCAACAAAGTTAATATTGTCACTATTTTGTTCCATAATCGTTATAGAAAACCCAACCTTAAGTCCGTTTTTCATGAGAAAATTTTTGCTTCCTAACAGCCGTCCGAAATGTCGGTCGTTTGTGATTAAAAATTAACAAGAAACGAAAGAATGAAATAAATAAAACATGGAAATCATGTACAAAAAGTTCTTTCTCTAATACAACTCTTCCGGCAACAAAGTGAATAGAACAAAATTAAACGCAATAAAAATGTAAAACAGTAATTTAAGGTTAGGCATAATAAAAAACCTTTTGTGACTCGCTTGTAAGATTTGAAGTCAGTTTAAACCACCATAGTGCAAGAATCTCCCTCGATTAAATGAAGACTAAGATTGAGAAATACTGTCAATTCAGATAGTTATTTCAAACATCTCGATTTTTTTCATTTACTATGTGAGTTTTTGCATATTACAACTTAATATTGGTAATGAATTTTTCGTTCTCGTGTTACACTTAATCGGGATTAACAGTTAGAGAAATGATTGGTTTAAAATGAAGAGTCAATTAGGCAATGTATCAACCCCATATGTTCCAGAAGACATGAAGGCCCCCGAAGAGTGAAAAAATAAAATTTTGCCGCTAAAACTCTCTAAGCCTAGTCTCGTGCATTAGAAAAGATGGGTGTTTAATGGAATAGTCACTTATATATAGAGAATCATGATAAATCTAAATACCATATAATTTCGTGCAATGTTGGATAAATTTGCGATTGCATGCATGATTGGGCGCGCGAGAACGAACCATATGTGAGAAGGCGTGGTCGCAAATTTCAATAACATTTGGTTTTCGTCAGACTTTGCAACCAACAGTCTTGATGAAAATTCCCAGGATCAATTGAAATTTCTTTGAATTTGGCTACAAAGGGGTAATCTGATGGATAAGCTTGACACTTCTAACCTGATCGATGCCAAAATGGAGCTACACCCTGAGGAGGAGAGCCTTGCGCAGCCCATGATAATTCTCAAAAATAAAGGGGAAAATCGGTGTAATGTTATACGAATAACAGCCGTTGTAGTAATAATTGGTGTTGTAGCTGCGGCATTTATTGGTGGGTATATGATACGAAAAACTGTATTTAAATGTAAAAAAGAAGGCAGTGGCGATGTTCCGTCGTCCCCGGCACCTTCGCAAGTTCGACTGCAGGATATCTTGGCAGAAATGTCTGCAGATCAGATCGAAGGAAATTTAAGGTTTGTTCAAACTATTTACATTATTGCATCTTTTGAGAGCAATCAATTGACGATTAACTGAAGCTTAAAAATCGACGTTTTCTCATAAGAGCAGGTGAGAAAAACCAATTTATTTTTAATCGTTTCTTCTCTAAGCAAATTTGTTACAGTGTATCAGTTATTTTCTGTGCGTGATGCACAGAAACGGAGTTGGAAGTGGTTTTGTGACGCGCTCTACTTCGATGCGCGTTAAAAAATTTTTGCTTATCGCACAGCTGGAACACAGTATGTAGTCGATCTGGAAGGGTTGTCAGCAGGTAGACTCATCGAGGATGCACGAAGCATGTAGATTATTTTTTTGGCACCTTCTTGACATGTACGTTTCGTGCGTGACTAGGCGAAGGTGCAGCCAGGTTTCAGCTTTTTCTGCACGGTTTATTCACAGATTTTGTTTATATCTTCTTATCAGTTTTTGATGGAGCCTAGAAATACACTTTAAAAAATACATCAAGATGGACTTGGGTCCAAATGAGTTTTTTCTTTCCATTTTTGCGAGTCAAATCCCCCTTCCTCCCTCCCTATAAGTAAACGACTTCCAGTCAGTAAAAAATTCTTACTAAGCCTTTAACTCCCAAGATCTGATTGTTAATTCTCCCCTCTAGCTGCTACACATTTCCTCATAAATTAATTATGAGAATTTGGTGTCCGATCAAGATAACAACTTCTACCTGATAAGTTTGAGTATTCTCATTACCTGTTTGCTGGATACTGTATGGATATTATAGGAAGAAGTTACCTGTTAATCACTTCTGGGAGTTAAAGAGTTAAAAATTATTATTACATTTTTTAAGTATGTTGAAAATACATTTTTAGGCCATCATTCATGTTGTCATATCTTAGCCTTGCTCAGATGTTTTACTTGAATTATGCTCTGTAAAGCATGAAAATATTGCATGTTTTAATTCTTGTGGTTTTTTTGGTCAGAAATATCCCCTGTCAGCTTTAACTCTTTACTCCCTAACATCAATATGCATATTCTCCATACTACTCCCTAGACATTTTCAAGGGTTTTGTCAAGGAGAATTTGTTCAACAATCAAGAGCCTCTCTAGTTGGTGATCATCTCCTTTATTCTCATGACCTTAATGTTTGATTCTGGGGTGATGTTGTAAGGAGAGATTAGATGTACGTCACTCCTAAGGGTCAAAGGGTTAGAATAAGCTTCTGCAAAAAAGGCTGGTTGGATAAAATAACAAAAAAGTGTACCATCTTCACTCCTACAGTGTGCTTTGTATGTGAATCAAATCCAACTCTCTTGAAATATCCACTGTGATTCAGGAATTAAACATTGTGTAGCTCACAAGGGTACAAATGAACATGCTGTGAGACTGAGTCAAATAAAAACAGATATTATTAGGTGACTTTAAGAAGAAACATTTTTGTTAGGATTTTTTTAATCAGCACTGAATAAAATAGTTTTATATAGCTCATCAAAGTTAGCATCTGAATAAAAATGCTGAGTTTTGTTCATATTGGTGGACTTAAGCCTTCTTTTATTGCAAATGAATTTGATCAGGGTTTAAAAAGTTATTTCTCATAGTTTTGCTGATTTAAAGCATGATCGTTGTTTTTTTCCCTCAGGAATTTGACCCTTCATCCTCATCATGCGAGCTCTAAAAGAAATACTGAACTAGCGGAGTGGATCAAGGAAAGATGGGAAAGTTATGGCTTTGAGGTCAAGTTACTTCAATATAATGTTCTTCTCTCCTTCCCTGTGGAAGGAAAAATTAATGGAGCCAAACTTTATGATGGAAGTGGAACAGTTAGGTTTCAAACTGCTGAGAAGGAGAAGGTTATGGAGGAATCTGAAAATTCATCCAATGCATTGCCTCCTTTCAGTGGCTATTCACCTACTGGCAAAGAAAAGGTAACAAACTGTGCTAGTTAATGAAGTATAATTATGGCTGATTTATGAAAATTTTCTTGCCATTATTTTCTTAAACTTTGCTTAGAATTAGGCGTGGAACACTTTTTTTGAACAGCACTGCTTCTGGAGGGTAAAGCAGACATTTATGTTCATGAAAAAAATGTCGGTGGGGTAGACAATTAGAATAAGACTCTAAAAATTACCCATGTAGCTTCATGTACACGATAAGATCTACAGTATATCAGTGTATGGCCCTTGTTTGATTTCTTTGAATGCAAGAAAATCTGCCAGAAATATTAACTGGGAGAAGCACAGGGAGCCCTTTAATGTTGTTTATTCACTCCTTTTATTTAGCCTTTTTTTTTCGTCTTGATACAAGTTCCTGCCAGAATTTTTGTAAACTCAGGATAGCACTCCATAAAACAGTTCAATTCAAGAAAATTTCTATTTTTCTTTTCACGTCACTTTTTGCAGGAATTGTTTTTTCAAAATTCTATTGCCTAGTTTTCCTCCATTCCTTTTTTCTCATCTAAACAATCTAGAACTTGTGCTTTTATCAAAAGTAATTGCAATCCACACTGTAGTTTAAACAAGGTTAGGTTGATGTACATCATTATAACCTTTACATGTAGTTTGATCTGTATTGCCTCTCAGGGTGACTTGGTTTATGTCAATTATGGAAGACGTGAAGATTTTAAACTACTGCAAAGTATGAACGTCAACTGTTCTGGGAAGATTGTCATCGCAAGATATGGGCGTGTCTTTAGAGGTGACAAGGTAACAGATCAATACAGGGTGTAAGGCTCGATAAGAAGCCTTATAGAATCGTATCTTATTGTGGGAAACCACAAAACGCAGAGAAAAAATATCAAGGTATAAACCAGTAATAAGCTTAACCCACTCATGACATTGAGTGTAAGGTTCAAAGCCAAGTCACAGTGGTGAGAGGCACCCTTACCCAAGGGCTATGGCAGACAGAATTCTCTGGTTACGCTGCAAAATTATCTTGGTAAATTTCAAGGCAGAGGCTATTTTATAGTTAGATTAGAAGAATTATGTGCAATGATTTTACACCATTCTCCTGCGATTACATATGTAATGCAATCTCTACCTATCATTACACCTTTCCTGCTCTCTCAAAGATAATACCATGATAATGAGTATGGAAAATTATATGGAAAATATTGGGTTCAGGTTGCTTATAATTTGAATTGAGTTCTATTCCATATTCTCAGGTAACTAATGCACAGAAGTGTGGAGCAAAAGCTATCCTGATATACAATGACCCTCATGATTTTGCACCTGTCTCAGATGAGGATCTTTTTCCACATGGCTGGTGGCTACCAAGATCAGGGGTGCAGCGTGGTTCAATCCTCATGGGCACTGGTGATCCTCTCACTCCAAGATATCCTTCTAAAGGTGACAGCTTAGTAT